AGGGGGGATCGAGAAACTGAGGTGTGCACTCGAGTAAATTATGACGTTTTTTTTATGTTCACAAGAGTCAATCTGATTAGTCCCGCAGCTAACTATCAGGCACGAGGCACCTTTTGTAGTTAATGCGATCACGTAAAACATATACAAAAAATGGACCTGTGGCTTTTTAAAATTAACGACAGTGAAGTTAACACCGGTAAACCGTCTGACAAAAAAGATGACGAGTGCCCTTCTGAAGCATTAAAGCAAACGGATGACCAACCCTCCGCGTCAACGGGGATCTCCAAACAGAGAGGTTTAACGCTCATTACAAAAACCAAAGGACTGTGTGCATCAAAGCAACGGAAGTATGATGAACAGTACATACAATACGATTAATAACGAACCATGTCCACAATGTGTTGTGTGTTCAGAGGTCCTTGCAAATGACAGTTTAAAACCTGTGAAACTGGTGCGTCACTTACAGAAGAAACATCCGATGTTAAAAGATAAGCCAGTCGACTTTTTTCGATGTAAAGAATCAGCATTAAGAGGACAAAAACAAACGATGACTAGTCAAACCACGCTGCAAGTAAAATCGCTTACTGCTTCAAATGAGGTGGCACATTTAGTTGCCAAGGCCAAATAGCCACATACATTTCCAGAGAGCCTCATATCTCCAGCTGCAAAGGCCATCTGTAAAACTGTTTAGAGAGAAGTATGCAAGTTACATTGAACAAATTCCACTACCAGACAACACCATAAGCCGGCGTATAACTGATATGGCATGCGACGTCAAACGTCAGCTGATTAAAAGAATAAAGAATGGGATTTCTTTTTTATTACAATTAGTTGAGTCGACAGACATATCAAACTCATCTCAACTACTTGTATTCGTCCGCTACAGTCATGAGAGAAAATTGCTTGTGGATCTACTATTTTGCTCATCAATGAAAAGACGTTTACAGGAAAAGATATTTTAGAAAAACTCAGCGGTCAACTGAATGAACTTGGTCTTTGATGGGACAATTGTGTCGGTGTGGGCACTGATGGAGTGGGATCCATGTTAGGAAAAAATAAAGGACTCGCTGCTTTGGTTCATAAAGTAGCTCCGCATGTTTGTTTCACCCACTGTATGATTCGCAGAGAGGTCCTCGCAGCAAAAACACTTCCTGCGGACTTGAACGCAGTGCTTCAAACAGCAATACAGATTGTGAATTTCATAAAGTTTGTCCCACTAAATCAAGACTGTTTGCCTTGTTGTGCATAGAAATGGGGTCCGAATATGAGTCGTTGCTTTTGCACAAGGAGGTTAGATGGCTCTCCACAGGCAAAGTCCTGCAGCGTATTTTTTCATTGCATTACGAACTGAGGATTGATTGTGGATCTTCCTTTAGGAGTTATTTTACTGACCCTAAGTAGCTCACAGATCTTACATACCTGTCTGACATATTTGATTGGCTTAATTCGCTTAATTTGTCCCTTCAAGGCCGTGTTCAAACCTACTAAATCTAAACATGTTCCTGACCTTGGATGAATTTATCACAGAAAATGTGTTTAACTGGGATACTACTAAAACGGAAATCACTCTCCATCTGCAATCTCTGTCTGCATATTTCAATAGGTATTTTTCTGAGCAGCATAATTGGAACCAGTACGACTGGGTTCGCAAACCCTTCATCAAAAGCACAGTGAGTCTGTCATCAAACCAGCTGGATGCCCTTCTGCACCTTTCAAGTGACCGTACTTTGACCCATCTCCATTGCAGAAATCTGGGAAGAGCAACACAAAGACCCAGATATAATCAAGATATTTCAGAACCTAGCAGACAGAGATTCTACTGTGCAATCCTAGAGGAAACACTGGAATTATTTCCCATGCGAGAGGCCACTGCCCAGACAGAAGCCAAATTCTTCAGAGAAGAAATACTTACTTGTTGGGGAGTACCAGATTCCATTCTATCTGACCGAGGCACACAGTTCACATCAGCAGTTTTCTCTGAAGTTTAAAAATGGAAAATCAAACAGAAAATGACAAAAATCAAATAGCCTACCACCCCCAGACCAATCTCACAAAACGACTGAACAGAACCCTAAAACAAATGATTTCTGCGTATGTACAAGATAACCATAAAAATGGGACCAATACTTACCAGAACTTCGCTTTGCCATAAATTCTGCAGTCCAAGAATCCATCGGCATGACTCTAGCAGAGCTTCTACTCGAGAGGAAACTCCAAGGTCCTGTAGATAAGTTACTGCATGGACACAATTTATACCGATTCTCCGGCCTACGACGTTGCAGAACAACTGTCAAATTTGAAAATGAAAGCAAGTGAGTTCAGAAAAAAAGCTATGGCAAGACAACTCTGCAGTTACAATAAAACAGGATGAGAGGCATCCTATAAAGAAAAAGACAGTGTCAGGGTAAGCTTTCCTCAGTCAAGTTTATTGCATAATTTCAGTGCGAAGCTTGCAAAAAAATGGAAAGGACACTACAGGATAATTCAACAGTTAGGACCTCTGAACTCTCGTGTTGCCCTGGAAAACACTGGAGAGGATGTTTGAACCGTAAATGTTTGTAATCTTAAGCCTTGCTTTCCAACAGCTGAAGAACTGGAGAATCAGGAGAAAGAAAAACTTAAGGCCATTTTGCTCTAACCACTAAATTAAGAAGAGTTTCTTGGTTTCTGACATCCCTTTTATAAACAACCAGGGGTTGTTGTTTTTTTTTTTTTTCAAGGGGGAGAGTGTGGCAAGACTATGCCTCCCCCAAATTTTTTCTTCTAAGCTCTAATAGGGGAAGCTAGTCAAACCTGCCCTTCCAAAAACTTCCAGGGTCAAGTTGAAGAAAACGGAAGTTCAGGTGGGGAAAAGAAGATTAAAGAGGGAGGAAATGGAAGAGTGAGAAGAAGAATTTTGTTTCTTTTGGCTTTGTGTGTTTGTTGTGGCAGAGAATGGAGAAAGGAAATGTGCGAGGTTGAAGAGCTGTTGGTTTTTGGCGTGTGAAGAAAAAAAAGACTGTGGCGTGTAGCAAGAATGGACGCAGTGTGCCCGGCAAACTTTACAGTGGTCATTTTGTGCAAGCAGTCTCCTGGATCCTCGGTGGAGACAGTGGGAAGCTGAATCCTTTCCTGAAGCCAACGAAAAAGTCTGTCTGGTAGGAAGGAGCCTTCCTAAACGAAACTTATCAAGGGGTGGACCAGTACCAATCGATGCTAATAGCCCGGGTCAGTTCATTGTTTTCATTCATACACCCACACTGAAAATCTTTACACACGTTGCAACCCCATAAAGCAGGCTTTTTGTTCATTACTCATTCCATCGTGCTTCCTTTACACAAGCTATAATTTATTTTTGAACTGTTTTGGTTTTGTTTGTTTCTTTTATTGTTTGTTGTACAAGGATGGTTGATTTTGTTTAGAAACCTTTACAAATGGAGTGATTCCGCAGTGATGTTGTATGTTTTTTTTTTGTTAAATATATTACTGTTGAGTCAATGTACGTGTGTGAGTTCTTATTTAAAGAGAATCTTTAATTTATTTTATTTTTGATTATGAAATTAGGAAATTAATGCTTGCTGTGGCTATCTTTGACAAGATAAACTTGTTTGGCGCCCAAAGGTTATAAATAACCTATACTTTTTTGTCCGAGGTCTGCTGGGAGTAGGATGAAAGGGTCTGGAAAAGCCACTGATTTCACTTCTTACATGGACTAGCGATAAAGCATTCAACTGTGATGCTGACGGTCCAACTTCTAATCCCGCCGGGAGCAGTTTTTGAAAGTTCATTTGTTTTGTGTTTTTTTTCTTTCTTTGAAAGACTTAAACAAAACTTATTCATCCAAAACCACCACTGTTACAATACAAATAAAAATAGGCCGTTTACAGCTTTTAAATCTGTCTTATCAATATGATCAAAATGACTTTTATGATCCATTATGTAAGAAACTGAAAACTGGACTGAAACTGTTTCAATTTACTATAACTTCAATGTTAAGTGGCTTTGACACGATTTACGTTGTAAATGCATTAGGTAAATAAAGATGAATTGAATTGTATCTGCTTAAATGTGTACACGTTAATGGACCAAACAACATATGATTTGATTTATTTTACATTTAATGTGCATTAAAACAGTGTGTGTAGCCAATGTTTCCAATGATGAGAGTTTTTAAGACTTAATGAAAACTTTTTTTTTTATTTCAGACCTAATTGAAGAGAATGAGGGTAGTAAAGAGGAGGAACATCATGTCAAAATTGAGGAAAAAACTCATTTTTTGAAAAGGAGAAACAAGAATCGTTTCAACTGTACTCAGTGTGGAAAGAGTTTGGCAAACAAAAGCAAACTTAAGATTCACATGATGAACCACACTGGAGAGAAACCATTCACATGCACTCAGTGTGGGAAGAGTTTTAGCCAATCATCACAACTTAATCAACACATGATGATCCACACTGGAGAGAAACCATTTACATGCACTCAGTGTAGGAAGAGTTTTTACCGCTCATTCTCCCTTAATCAACACATGAGGATCCACACTGGAGAGAAACCATTCGCATGCACTCAGTGTGGGAAGAGTTTCAGCCAATCAACATCCCTTAATCTACACATGAGGATCCACACTGGAGAGAAACCATTCACATGCACTCAGTGTGGGAAGAGTTTTACCTGCTCAACACACCTTAATCAACACATGGTGATTCACACTGGAGAGAAACCATTCACATGCACTCAGTGTGGGAAGAGTTTTACCCGCTCATCATACCTTAATCAACACATGAGGATCCACAATGAAGAGAAACCATTCACATGCACTCAGTGTGGGAAGAGTTTTTACTGCTCATTCTCCCTTAATCGACACATGGTGATCCACACTGGAGAGAAACCATTCACATGCACTCAGTGTGGGAAGAGTTTCAGCCAATCAACATCCCTTATTTACCACATGAGGATCCACACTGGAGAGAAACCATTCACATGCACTCAGTGTGAGAAGAGTTTTACCTGCTCATCAAACCTTAATCAACACATGGTGATCCACACTGGAGAGAAACCATACACATGCACTCAGTGTGGGAAGAGTTTTACCTGCTCATCATACCTTAATCAACACATGAGGATCCACAATGAACAGAAAACCTCTCTGGACAGTTAGTAAAATATAGACCAATCGCTCGCTTTTTAAATGTCTGATCATCTTGTTTAATCCGGCTCCTTTTCACAGCGCTGTACAACAGAATTTTGCATGCTCAAATTCTAGTGTGACCGCAGCTTCGATGTGGGATGAGTTTTCGCAGCTCCCCAGACCTTTATTAAACACACGAAGACCCACACTGGAGGGAAACCATTCACATCTACTCAGTGTGGGAAGAATTTCAACCAATCACCAAACCTCAATGAACATGAAGATCCACACTGGTGTGAAAGAGTATATGTGCCCAGAATGTGAGAAAACTTTTATTACAGCTACAAAACTGCACCAGACAATTCACACTGGAGAGACCGTACAAGTTTTTAAACTGTGACGAGGTTTAATCAGTTAATCTCAAAACACAAAAGAGGATTCACACTGGAGAAAAACCGTACAGATCTGAACAGTGTCTACAGAGTTTCACTCATTCGGCTCAGCTTAAGAAACACATGGACAAAACGTTGCACACATGACATGAATGTAGCAAAATATGTTCTCATGTGCACAGGATGTTTCATGTCTGAATAATGTTTGCTCATAATATAATTCTTATAATGATAATAATTCCTCATGGCAAAAAAATGCAGATACTTAAACTCCATTTGAGGTAAGGACTTTCTGCCAAACTGGAGGTGGCCACTGTTTTCCAGTCAAGCATTATGGTTTTTGACTTAGAGGTGCTGTTTCTTTCCCTGCCATGTCACACTCAGCAGCAAACCGTCCCACTGCATGCTGAAGATCCATGTCCAGAGTACCCCCGGGGTCTTAAAATCATTGAAAAACCCTTAAATTTCATAATCTTAAATTAAGGCCTTAAAGAGCATATTGTAGGTTAATTTTTTTATATATATATATATGGAAAAGTGTGTTAAAATATCATGTTATACCATAACATAACATATTGAAATGTTTTTGAAAGCGCAAGGGTACAAAATGTAAGGAAAAGTGTCTGTTTCTGACCCTCTTCTTGGAAAACTACAATCACGTACATGACGTCAGAACAGGGACTTATAAGCTGCGCTCTGCCTGAGAACTGTGCAGAGTAGGTTGGTAGTTAGCAGGATCGGTTTTACGTAAGTGTGTTTTTGGTAGCGAGTAGTGTAAGTGATCATCATCATGGTAAATTATTGTGTTTGTGGAGGCTGCACAAACTCTGGCACGTCAGGACATCGAATCCACAAGTTTCCTGACAGGAAAAAGGATGGAGCCCTCTTTTGCGCTTGGTTGCACTTTGTGCAGGTAAAGAGGCGCGATTTCACTTCAGCATCTGTTTCGAAAAACTCGGTGGTGTGTGGTGCTCATTTTCGAAAGGAAGATTATTGTCCTGGCGATCTGATGCAGTTTGAAAAGGGATGCCGAAACAAGAATCGCGTCAGACTCCAAGCTGGCGCGGTTCCTTCGGTGCACACTGCGCCTTCGTCAGGCCCGCCTTCCACCTGTCGTTCTCCCACTGGTGGGAAACATGCTCTTCACGGATCAGTCAGAGATGGAGCTCGACGAAAACGTGAATTGTGCACGGTAAGACTTGTTTATATATTTATATGTAAGCATATTTGAAGACTTACAAATCAGTAATCATAACTATTTCAGTAATTCGAGGCAATGTGATCTGTTTACATTATACTACAGCATCGTAACGAGCATTAATCCATGTAATACAGACTTTTTCAAAGCCGATTAATAATTTATTGTCATGTGTTGCGTTTATAAGATTTTGGAGGATGCTCATGCTGCAAGAAATGAAGGGATAGATGCATCTGCAGCCAGTTATGCTGTGCTAGCTGACGTGGAGCACGAGGTTTTCTCTCCACTGTCTACTCGTTCCTCTGTGCTTCACTTTGGCTCACAGTGTAACCTTAGACCTTCACTTCATTCATCAGGTATATTACCATTGTTCCCTTGTCTAAGTAATTATGCATGGCACTTACCTATTTGTTTACATAAAATACAAGGAAAAAATAAGTGACAAATTATTACTCAAATATTTGTGTGTGATGCTGAAATGTTTAACCTCCATTTAAAAATTTTTTTTGAATTTGTTTATTTAGACCTTGTCACAGTTGTTTAATTATGCAGTAATTTTACAGTAATCAGTACTTCAGACAGTTGTTTGATTTTGCACTTGGCAGTGAATATGCTGTTTCACAACTATGTAAAGCTGGACATTGTGTTTGTTCTAGCTGTTGTGATGTTTGATGGGTCAGATGACATTAATCATGTGAGACACAAAAGATCACTGATGTATTCTGATATTCCTATGCGTAAAAGCACAACTCTTAGTGATGAAGTGAAACGTAAGAGACCGAACAGGCGGCTGGCAGAGGGCCCGCCGAATCAACAAACCAGCTGGACGAACTCTCTGTGAACCCTTAGGTACTTCAAGTTACCCCCTCCCTTGTACTTTAGATGAACCCCCTCCTCGTACTTCTACCGAGCTCTCTACCCAGCTCTTTGCCGAGCTCGAACACCTAAATCTGGGGCATAACTGAGGGAAGTGAGGCTGATATTAAAAAGGCCCATGTATTGATTTCTATGTACTCATATATCTGTCTTCATATTGTTCAAGTGATTTAGCATGCTCCTTGAATGTATGAGTTAAGTAGTTTTTGCATGATTTATGAACACTATTATATGAGACACTGAGTATAAAAGCTAACTTGTACTCTTCAGCTTTGCGCTTCCCGACTTCTGTTCATTGAGGTTGGTTGCCCTTTGTCTCTAACGGGAGGCAAAGTAAGGATTTCTTGTTTTCTGTTTGTCTTTTGTTTGTTCTACTTTTTCACTGGATTTTATTTTATTAATAAAAGTGTATTTTATTAATTTTCTTCACTGGAGTGGACTTTGACTTCATTTTCCAGAACCCATCTAAGTTACCCTGTGTGGTAAAGTATGCTCTAATTTATTCTTTTGCAAAATACGTTCTTTAAAGACGATTCTTTAACTAAACTCTTGCTAAGAAATATAGCTAAGGGAGGATCCTGATCTTAACTTTGTTTAATTAGGGTGATTAAATAAAGGGAAATCAGCACACTGTCCAAGCAAAGCCTAAAATGTTCAGTGTGGGGACTCAGACAGAAATGTGTACGCAACAAACATCAACCCCACTGGCCAGCCCTGTACAGAGCGATGAGGAATCTGTTGTGATGGAAGAACCTTATGATGTTTCATGGATGCCAGAGGAGGAAATGACAATTGACACATCTACTGAGGAACCAGTGCCAGAATCTCATCCTGACTCAAAGTAAGACTTTTATGTGTATATACAGTGTTTACTTTTACATTTGTGTATCAGCAAATATTTCAGTTAAACATTTTTCCTTTTATAGTGCTCCTGACAAGTTTATTGTGTGCCTGAGCCAGCTGATGTCTTTATTTGCAATATGTCCAACATGTTGTGAGGACACACAAGGAAAGATTGTGAAGCAGGAGGGAACTTTTGTAAAAATTCAGCAGGCAAGTGCCAATATTTTAATTATTTGAGAAGTAAAAGTGTTATCATATCTTCCATATTTTGTTGTATTAATATACTTTGTTGCTTTAATGCTATAGATTACTTATTTTCTACTTTTCTTATAATTTGTAGGTCTGTGCAGCATGTGGCTTTCAGCGTTTTTGGCAGAACCAGACAATGCTGCATCGAAACATGCCAGTCTGTAACCTTTTACTGAGTGGGGCCATCCACTTTACAGGTTGCATGGCTACCCAGACCTTCAGGATACTAAAACTCTTTGGCCTTCAGAGCATAAGCGTAGACACCTTTTTCCGCCACCAGCGGTTGTACACAATACCTACCATTGTGCATGCGTGGCAGAATGAACAGGAAGGGGTCATTCGAGACCTGAATGAGATGAGTGGTGGCCTGATCCTGTATGGTGACTGCAGGTAGCACACTTTGGGGCATATCATTTATAACAGTCAAAACAATATAATATATTGTTTAATGATTCAGTTTTTGAGATTAAATGTTTTAATTGTTTTTGACATTCATAGATCAGATTCTCCTGGCCGTTGTGCTAAATATGGCACATACTCTTTGATTGAGGACAGAATTAACAAGGTTTTAGACATTCAACTTGTCCAGGTAAGTTAATGTTATCAAACACATATCGCCTGTCTAATGTTGCAAAGTGACATGACCAAATGCATTTACAGAGCTCTGAGGTTCCAAGTAGCTCTTGGTGTGAGCTGGAAGGTCTAAAGCGCAGCATAAGGTTTTTGAATGAGAAACGCATGCATGTGTCAGCCCTCATCACAGACAGAAATCGCCAGGTAACGATGCACATATATACAGACAAAAAACATGATGATCAGAATGTTATTAAGTAAACCAACTTATTCTTATAATTAATGTGTTGTATCCCACATTTTAGGTCGCTAAGTGGGTGCGGGAGGAGCTTTGTCCAAATGGAACGAGCCATTTCTTTGACATCTGGCATATTGGCAAAAGTATGTATATTGATGACAGTACTTTTCTGTAGGTTGCCTACAAATCCATTTTTTAACTTGTAATATTTTTTGTTCTACAACAGGTCTAGGGAAGGCTTTGGATGCTGCTGCAAAGGATAGAGAGTGTGAAGATTTAAAGCTGTGGAGGCCAGCTGTAATTAATCACCTCTACTGGACAGCAGCCTCCACTCCTAATGGAGATGCAGATGTGATGGAGGCCAAGTGGAAAAGTATAGTCAACCATATTCAGGACATCCACCAACACGACAGTCCTGTGTTCCCCTGCTGTGCACATCCACCTCTGGAAGAGGAAGCAAGGAACAAGGAGTGGCTGGAACCAGGTATAACTTATTGTTCAACATGTCTAAAAGTGAACTGTATGTTATAAAAATGCCACCTTGTTGTGTACCTGCCCCTATCATAAAAAACAATTCTTGTTTTTATGCAGGATCAACAGTAGCAGTTAAACTGGAGGGTGTGGCCATGAGACAAGCACTGGTTAAGGATATTCGGCAGCTGTCACCACAGCATCAAACATTTTCACTGGAGGCATTTCACTCCCTTATCCTGCACTTTGCACCTAAGCACACTGGATTCTCCTTCCTTGGGATGTACAGCAGGTGAAAGAATGAGTATACTTTCTAAAATGAATACAGTCTAACATGCTGCACAACTTAAATTAATTTTGCAGTAAGTGATGATGAACAGAGATTTGTATTATTTGTACATCAGCAACACATGAATCATTGTGGTTGAACTATAACCACTTATACAGTTTATAACAGAACTGTATTTTTATTCTATTTGAATTCTGTATTGATTCTATATTGTTCACATATGCTCAACTTGTAATGGGTACGATATATTTCTACAGACTTCTCCTGGCAGCCATGCACTTTAACCACAATGGTAGCAGAGAAGTTGCTCGAACCAGTGATGGTGAGCTGTGTTACGGGGTTTGATACCCAAGGTTCCGCAAAGGTGGCTGGGTAGTCCGTCCTGTTAAGGAAAAACCATCATACGGTTAGCAGCTTTAGTTAATTCCTAAATTCCATTAACACTGTCAGATGAGTCACCACATAAACGTGATTTTAACTTTTGCTTTATGCCTCCAGCATATGCATCAGCCCTCATAAAGTCTCTGACAGTGGAATACTCGAGGTCACCACAGACTTTACGTGAGCGAAGCAGTTCTTTGTTATCAAGTTGTCCTGCGCCCCTTTCCAGATCCCTCCAGAGGATTAACAAAAAAGAGGCTGTTGGAGTGTATCTGGCACAGCATTCACGTTTTAGCAAACATTAAATATTTTAATGTAGACATTAGCATGTCTTTAAAGTATTTATTAAAAACATTTAAGTGCTGTTTAACAGTTAAACATTTTTAATTAAGATAATGCTGTTTTGATAACTAACAAGATTTTACAAAATAATTAATAGTAGAATAAAAACAAAATTCAAACAATGTCTTTGGTCTGTTACTGAAAAAGGTAATACAATTCAAAGGAGGGCTTATCATTTCTACTGTATGCCAGTTACAATGTTGTGCTTTGAGTTGGGTAATAGATAAAAATATTTCCAATGATTTTGCACCATATGAATAACACTTGAATTAGGGTCGATAAGACTTGAATTTTACGAACCTATACAGATTTGTTTATTTAAACTTTGACATTTTACACAGTGAGACAACTTGTATTTTTATTGATTGTCACCAAATTGGGGCCATTCAAAACCTTTGTAAACTCCTCTCTCTGCTGGAAACTGTCGTCTGATAGCTGAAACAACACATGCAGGTAAGGGCTTCCAGATGTGTCTGCCCAGTCTATATGCTGTGTAGTGGTATTGTCTAGAGTTAAGGACAAAGTGTCAATACTGGTTATCTTGTGCTGATAGCAAATAAACAAAAACAAGCATTATTGTTTTTGTAATAATGTTTAATTTACATGATATACATCCCACTATTTAGCAAAATGTCTGCCCTCAACATACTCATGTCTTCTGGCCTGGAGAGGTCCATGCTCCTGTCTAAAGTGCATATATGCAATCTATAGCACATACGGGTTTAGACAACAAGCCTCAAAGCCTGGGTGCAGAGTCAGGCACTGCACATCCAGTGTTGGTGTCACGTTCTCCACTAAGGCCCAGTATGCATGTATCTCCCTGCAGCACTGACTCTCTTCAGCTGTAACCATTGCCTCACATTTGCCACAAAAACACCTATGAGACAAATGTGTTTAACTCTCTTTTTCCCTTTTCTGCTGTGATTTCCAACTTAATTTTTTTTACAGTGGCATAAAAGATCTGAAAACATTGTATAATAGAAAGGTTTAAAAGTAAATTGCCATTGTATATTATTTATTATGTACATTAATAAAAACAAGTAAATACAAATATATGTACTTTTTTGTATTTACTCAGTATTATATATCATTGAATGCATAATGCAAATAACAATTATAATAACAATTATAATACATATCACTCATGTATAATATGTATGGTCATTTTATTAATACTTATCGATAAGCTATGGTAGTTTTGCTTTTTCCTCATTAGATTTCCCTAGCTTATGTTTATATCTGTAAGCCAACACTAATCCCTCACCAAGACACCTGCCATGTTCTCCAGCTTTAACGATCAGTAATGAAGAAATTTCTACATTAGAAGAATGACAGTTTCTTCTTCCTGTTTTACGGTGGTCGATAACAAAGTTTTTGATGCGTTACTGCCACCTCTTGCTCTGGTTGGTGATGTCACCAAACAATCATTGGGCTGACACAAGAAACTTGCTTGATTGAAAGATGACTGAGAGAGATTAGATTAGGGTGTAATTCATTAATGAAGAGTTGTAAAAATATAAACAATATAATGCTTATTGCAGAGTATTTCCCTTTACTATAAATGACTGTAGTATTTTAATTGTGTAACACCTGGTTTTATTGGATTTTTAGTTTTTGCTGTTATAAACTATACTTTGTTTCTGTTTGGTACAGCATATTATTTACAGTAAATAACTGAACTGAATTATTTTTCATTGACAGTTTCATTGATCACTAAGATATGATTGACTTGGATTTAACTTGCTTCGATTTAAATATAAAAATTGTAAAAATAGCTTGGATGTAGCTAGGCTACTTTTGCCAAGGAGTTTATAGCTTAGCTTGATACATTTCTAAGAGGTAAGCTTTTAAGTAGAGTAGCTAATAGCTTAGCTCATTACATTTTTCAAGTAGCTTGCCCAACACTGCCACCACAGCAAAGGAACATCCTATCTTACCGTGGCTCAACATCATCTCTGCAGGCAGATGTGATGTGGGTATTTAAAACAATCCCTGAGCACCACTCTTTCATATAGAATAAGAACATTACAGAGGTTTTTAAAACCATGTTTTCTGACTCTGAGGTTGCAGTTACACTTTTGAGTGGAAGCAACAAAACTGCATATATTACTTAATTCAGATCCTTTTATAACTAAAGAACTGACTGACCAGGTCAATAAGGCCAACTGGTGTCATGGTATGGAGAATCACAAAACACAAAAATCCATGGGCAGCAATTTATTTAGACAAAGACAAAAGGAGTTTCCCAATCTTGCACAGAATCTTCAAGAAATGAGTCCAGACAAAAGAACTGACAAAAAATACAAAAATGAGCAAATACAAAACTGGGTATATGTTCTAACAAAAACAAACAAGAATCTAAGAATAAGCCAATACAAAACTAGATCACCAAACAAACATACCGGACGTGAGGAACAAACAAAATCCTAAGGCAACTAAAACACAAGACAAAAGGGTTTATAAATACAGGGCTAAATTAACAAACAAAAAACAGCTGGAACAGAATACAATCAGAAGTGCAAAGGGTTATATTAAATGAAGTTAATCTACAAAACAAGCTAGTGACCTCAAGTGTCCAAAAGAGGGCACTGCAACGTGACAACGGGTTTTCGGTCATGTTTGAACTTCCGTTGGACTTTCATATTCACTACTGGGTGCTGACCACACTGTTGCGTATTAAATATAACAGAAAATTTAAATAAAATGCTTTACTTCATTCAAGTAGCCCACTTGTACATAATTATTTACTAGGGTTCAAACTTTATACAGATTTGACATTTTTCCCTCATACTTTTGCCGGAATGGGTACAAAGTTGGCATTAAATTTCATTTGAAATGTTATTGAAAAGGTCTTAAAAAGCCTTGCATTTCATTTGAAGGATCCTGGGGGTACCCTGGGCAGAGTGCTGGGTAGGAGCAGAATGCTTGGTAGGAGCAGTGTGTTGGGTCATGGCAGAGTGCTGGGCCATAGCAGAGTGCTGGGTAGGAGCAGTGTGTTGGGTCATGGCAGAGTGCTGGGCTGTGGCAGAGTGCTGGGTAGGAGCAGTGTGTTGGGTCATGGCAGAGTGCTGGGCTGTGGCAGAGTGCTTGGTAGGAGCAGTGTGTTGGGTCATGACAGAGTGCTGGGCTGTGGCAGAGTGCTGGGTAGGAGCAGTGTGTTGGGTCATGGCAGAGTGCTGGGCTGTGGCAGAGTGCTTGGTAGGAGCAGTGTGTTGGGTCATGGCAGAGTGCTGGGCTGTGGCAGAGTGCTGGGTAGGAGCAGTGTGTTGGGTCATGGCAGAGTGCTGGGCTGTGGCAGAGTGCTGGGTAGGAGCAGTGTGGTGGGTCATGGCAGAGTGCTGGGCTGTGGCAGAGTGCTGGGTAGGAGCAGTGTGTTGGGTCATGGCAGAGTGCTGGGCTGTGGCAGAGTGCTGGGTAGGAGCAGTGTGTTGGGTCATGGCAGAGTGCTGGGCTGTGGCAGAGTGCTGGGTAGGAGCAGTGTGTTGGGTCATGGCAGAGTGCTGGGCTGTGGCAGAGTGCTGGGTAGGAGCAGTGTGGTGGGTCATGGCAGAGTGCTGGGCTGTGGCAGAGTGCTGGGTAGGAGCAGTGTGTTGGGTCATGGCAGAGTGCTGGGCTGTGGCAGAGTGCTGGGTAGGAGCAGTGTGTTGGGTCATGGCAGAGTGCTGGGTAGGAGCAGTGTGTTGGGTCATGGCAGAGTGCTGGGCTGTGGCAGAGTGCTGGGTAGGAGCAGTGTGTTGGGTCATAGCAGAGTGCTGGGCTGTGGCAGAGTGCTGGGTAGGAGCAGTGTGTTGGGTCATGGCAGAGTGCTGGGCTGTGGCAGAGTGCTGGGTAGGAGCAGTGTGTTGGGTCATGGCAGAGTGCTGGGTAGGAGCAGTGTGTTGGGTCATGGCAGAGTGCTGGGCTGTGGCAGAGTGCTGGGTAGGAGCAGTGTGTTGGGTCATAGCAGAGTGCTGGGCTGTGGCAGAGTGCTGGGTAGGAGCAGTGTGTTGGGTCATGGCAGAGTGCTGGGCCGTGGCAGAGTGCTGGGTAGGAGCAGTGTGTTGGGTCATGGCAGAGTGCTGGGCTGTGGCAGAGTGCTGGGTAGGAGCAGTGTGTTGGGGTCATGGCAGAGTGCTGGGCTGTGGCAGAGTGCTGGGTAGGAGCAGTGTGGTGGGTCATGGCAGAGTGCTGGGCTGTGGCAGAGTGCTGGGTAGGAGCAGTGTGGTGGGTCATGGCAGAGTGCTGGGCTGTGGCAGAGTGCTGGGTAGGAGCAGTGTGTTGGGTCATGGCAGAGTGCTGGGCTGTGGCAGAGTGCTGGGTAGGAGCAGTGTGTTGGGTCATGGCAGAGTGCTGGGTAGGAGCAGTGTGTTGGGTCATGGCAGAGTGCTGGGCTGTGGCAGAGTGCTGGGTAGGAGCAGTGTGTTGGGTCATAGCAGAGTGCTGGGCTGTGGCAGAGTGCTGGGTAGGAGCAGTGTGTTGGGTCATGGCAGAGTGCTGGGCCGTGGCAGAGGGCTGGGTAGGAGCAGTGTGTTGGGTCATGGCAGAGTGCTGGGCTGTGGCAGAGTGCTGGGTAGGAGCAGTTAGTTGGGTCATGGCAGAGTGCTAGGCCGTGGCAGACTGCTAGGTGGTTTCCAATCATATTGCTCTTCCTTCATGTCAAAGGCAATTCTGCCAGAAGGAAAGAGCTCAATATATTCTCTAAAACTCACTTTATTGTGGGCATGTTCTTTGGAGCCTTTGCTTACTCCTGTGGGGTCCCTCTTCAAAGAAACCCAGCAGATGTTTTCTGTTAGTCACATCTCCATGGTGCTCATTTAAGCTTTTTTTGGCCTTGTCCAGTACTGCCTCTGGGGACAGTGGTTTTCTGTAGGGCTTTCCTTTGTTAGCTTCCTTCACTTTTGTTGCCTCCACTGTATCTGTCAGATTCAGGCTGCCATCATTCCGTCTCCTGAATTGAGGTTCCATCTAGTAACACATTGGTTAAAGTAATACATAGGTTCCACAAATATTAAAATTTACTCACCCTCAAGTTGTACCAAATACATTTAAATTTCTTTGTTTTGAGGAACACAAAGAAGATATTTAGAGCAATATCAGCAGACAAACAGATTTTAGCCAACTATTTACAGCCATAGTTGGAGAA